ATGTAAAAGTGGCTGGTCAGCGCCTCCGTGTCCAGTCTCATCTGCGGACACACAGCACTCGGTATGCGACATTCGTTCGTGAAATACTTTGAACGCATGAAGCTCATTATCTGAGCAATGCCGTCCATTTTTAGGCGCGACAGTGCTTTGCGTGCATCACCCAGCGAACCGGAGGAGAGCGACGCAGTGAAGTCCTCAATATGACCCTTAAGCGACATCTTCGTGAAGAGAGGCTTTATTTTTCTGAGTGCGGAACTGTGCGTGTGATCGCGTATGTTTGCTTATTGGTGTTGAAGTTGAATTCGTCTGCTGGGAGAATTGTGTAATGCGCTGATGGTAGATCTGGGAGAAGGAGAAGAGGTCGAAGTAGAACGATAAGGAACAACTTATGTCCTTTACTTGTAGAGGAAGAGAAAGCGTATGAAACAGCTTCCCGGTGTGAAACCAATTGCTGCAGAGAGATATGGGAGTTTTAAAAAGCAGCACGACACGTTTGCGTACACCTGTTGGACGATACCGTCACCGCTTCCGTTGCCTCGCTTGTAAAGTCTCACCGTTGCTACAGTGCAATGGCGCCTGCTGAGGAATCCCTTCGCTTGACTTTCCGTTTAAATCTGCGGATGCATCCACTGTGCAGCAGCTGCTAAACACTGTAGCCGGCATTTAACATGAATCATCAGAAGAGAAACGCACAATAAATCAGCAGCGGGTACACGCTCCCCAGGCATGCAAGGCAAGGAGCGTTGTGGGCGGAGCCGAGCAATTTGACAGAGAAGAAGGGCGGTAAAAAGAGCCGTGCTCAGGAATCTTCAAGGTAGACCACAAGTAAATCGCATAAGCACGGATGCTGGCAGGAGAAGTTGGAGCTCGTGGTGGTGGGTTGTCGGATGGGTGGTGAAAGAAGAGAACGCGGAATACCTCAAGATTTGGGTGGGTCGGGCAACGCTGCTGATCTACCCTGACGCGTCGAACTCTGGAGCTCCATCCCTTCAGCTAACGCCTATCACGTTACATCACCCACACATCCAGCAGCCCCAGGATGGTGGATTAGGCAAGAGTGCTCACGTCCGCCCACAGCTCACTTCCACACACACACACACACAGTAACTTCAGAAAGCAGCAGACAGCGGCTCCAACACCTTACGTTACGCAGTCCGCATTCACGGACAGTAAGCTTCTCCAGGAGTTGTGCGCCAATCAGATCGCGGTGGTCCTCCAGAAGCTCCTTCTCGGACACATCGAGTGCTTCGAATATTGAGTAGTTCTTCGGGTGACGAGGATGCTCTTCTTTCGCTGTTGACTGCTGTTAAACGACGCAAGTGCAGTGCTCCAACCAACGAAGAGAAGCTGTTGTGTAAACACAGATTGCAATCTGTGAATCAGATGATTGACATCTGTGCAGACACAAGTATCTTGCGTTGCGTGGGAGCGACGGCGGCACCACCGGCATCACCAGCTCCGTCAAGTCAGGGAACATCTACAGCTTGTAAACAGCAGTGCCTCATCTACTTCCTTTGAGCTCTTCTTTCGCCGATGAAGAACATCGGGACACTGATGTATATTTTTTCTAGCATTCAAAACAAGGATGAGTCTACATGGAGCTACCCACCATGGTGAGTGCACCAGCCTAAAGTGACTCGTCGCGTCTTCAGTCCCCACACTTGTGTCCGTGAGACGGTTGCCTTCCTCGTACACTCGTAGCATTTACGCTCTGCCTTCGTTATACCCATTCACTGTTTCCGTGCGGAATCTCTTCTGCGGACGAGTAGTTCAGAACGTTTGCGGAGTGTGTTTGAACGACTCTTGTGAGATACAGCTCACTAATCGAATAAGGTCATCTCACACACGTTATAGGATAGTACCGTACGTGGAACGCATTCACAACGAACGATCGAAACAGTGGTGAGATCCGCCATGTGGTTCGTTAACTACGCAACCAACACCGTAATCGCACCTTTGTTTTGTCGGTGTGTGTGATGGAAGCGGAATACAAATGACGGTAGAACAAGAACCGTACAGTATGGGTACGTTGGTGTGGAGAACGAACGCTGATCAAAGGATAGGGGAGAGGGGGGGGGGGAGGGGAAACAAGATAGGGGAGGAAGACACGGTAGACATGGGGCACGCACCAAAGAGGTTAGCGAGCAGCGTTTCGAGTGGCGGCATCAAAACGGTTGCTCATGAGCGTGTGTTGAAAGCAAAACGCAGAGGTATACGTTGATTTGTATCTTCGTTTGTCTCGCAAGAACGAAAGAGTCGGGAGGCCATGTAGCAAAGGAAAGAAATCACGGAACAGAGCGAGGATGATTTCAGCTAAGAAGTCTTTACACATACGAAATGTTGCACAGAATGCACGCGCCCGGTATGAAGTAGCCCGACACGTCGTGCAATTCAACACGGCGGTAGCCGCCTTGCAGCAGCTTCAGTGGGACGATGGCCTCGCCCAGTAGGCCATCGCTGCTGAGGCGGTCTTTATCAAATACCTGTATGATCAGCGAGGACATGGAACGTCGCCGGACCTCCCAGACGAACTCGTTGGCGCCCGTGCCGCGCCACACGGGGTGGAAGCCGTTGTTTGAGATCGCCTTGGTCAGTTTTGGGGAGTTGTCCATCTCCGGCCCCTCAATAAACAAGGACACCAGCGGATCCACAATGTCGCCTTTGCTGCCTTTGCGTGGCTTCGGGAGGCAGAAACCGGAGATGATCTCGGTGCTAAGTGAAAACTGTTCCGAGGTGACACGCGAGCTTCCGTCTGTCGGCCGCAGGTACTGTGGTTTCAACACATAGCCGCACCTGCCGTTGTCCATGAAGACGGCGCGGTTGAGGCGCCATTCGACGGTGCGACGTGACTGCCAGTTGAGTGCGACAAGTTGGCAGCCGCAATTCCAGAACTGCTGCGGGTTGTAGTTGCTGCTGTCGAAGCGGGCACCGGCAGGGTAGACTCGACTGAGACACGCCGTGTTGACTCGAATGAACCCCGCCGTGCTCGCCTGCAACACCTTCCGTCCCTTATCTTCCGAGTACGAGGTGCAGTGGTAGGGCTGGCGCTCCGCTAGGTAGGAGAGGTCGTCCACACCCTTGTAGGCCACCGACTCGATGCTGATGAGGGTAGAAAGCTTCGCGGAGGCGGCGCGAGTACCGCTGCGCTTGTGTCTCGTGCGTTCCTCCTTGGCGTGGCGGTACTCTTCGTTGGCGGCCTCTGCGGCCCTCTCCTGTACTTCATCCTCGTCGTCCGCGTCCCCGCCGGAACCATCGTCGTAGAAGAAGTCGCTGCGCGAAGACTTGAGGAGTATTTTGTGCCGCAGGTTGTGCGGGGTGAAGTCGAAGGTCGGCTTCTCGTTGGGGCCCCACGGAGGTATGAAAAGAAGGTCGCCGAATTCGTGCTTCATGATCTCGGCCATGCGATCCTGCTGGCTGACGGAGGTGTGCACCTCGAGGGAGAGGATGACAGGATACGGCGATGCTTCAAAGGCGTACTCTTTGATGACCTTGATGCAGTCCACAAAAAGAATCTTGGAGGTGCGTGTGTATCCGTGGTAGACGATGGGTTCGTGGTTGCCACCGTTCCAACAGTCCAGCTCCACGCAGCGGCACCCCTCCAGAAGTGCCTCCTTGTACATGAGCGGCGAGGACTCGCTCATCAGCTGGTCTCCGGTGAGGTAGGTGTTGTGGGAGGAGTTGATGAAGTACTCGCAGATGGGGTGGTTCATGTCTTGATACACGTTGTACATGCGGTCGCGCTTCATTGCGCCACAGAAGCGGTTGCTGGAGAGAAAGGCAATGAAGTGCTTCTTGTCGATCTCATCCGCATCCACGCAGCCGAGGGAGGCGAGGGTGTCCTCGACGAAGGCGCTGTCGAAGGGACCTTGTTGGACGTCGCGCATAAATTCGGTGAAGACGGCACGGGACATTACCTTGGAGTTGTTCGCCACCTCGTCGAAGACGTACCCCAGTTCGTTGAAGGCGGTCGCCTCTTCGTAGGCCTGCTCAAACGCTGTATAGCTCACCGTTTTATTCGAATCCTTGAAGGCGGCTAGGATGCTGCGTGCCAGCGCCTCTGGGAAGTTCAGGCCGTGCACCATGTTTTTAATCTCTGCGTACGCGAGGTCGCCGCTGTTGTCGCGGTCGTAGGTCATCCACGCTTGCATCACGTACGCGCGGTTGACATCCGGCAGCGCCTTCTGCGCAAGGGTCTTGTTCAGAAACGCGTCGAGGGCCTCACTCGTGCGGGCGTTGCACCGACACGCGCGGATTAGAAACGCATTTGCCTCCTCGGGATTGCACTGCAGCAAGTTGCACAGCGCTGTCCGCATCGACGAGAAGAAGCTGGCCCCCTCGTTCTTATCGGGTGCGTTGTTGTTGAAGAAGTCTTCCGTAATGAGGGTGCAGGATGGGATGTACTTGTCCGACCGCCGGTCGAAGTCCGCAGGCTTCGTGAAACAAACTCCCATCCTGTTAGTCGGAGTAGAGCAATCGGCAGAGCTCGTGGTGAAGCAGGGAGCTGCAGTTGAGAATTCCTCCGTTTGCGTGGCCGTTGAAACCAGAAAGGGAAAAAAGAAGAAGAAACGGAGAGGAGAGCAAAGAGTTACGCCAACGGAGCGGTAACACCATCCTCGGGAAGCTCCAGCAATAAAGAGACTGTAGTCATCTAAAGCTCCTTCAATCGGCAACTGCACTGCGCAGAAAGCTGTACGATGGTCGTCGTTATCGCCGATTCGTCGTTGATGTCTCCGGTGCTATCTGTATGGAATGTGCGCATCTATGGGAAAACAACAAAAAAAAGAGGTGAGCAGCCGCAGGCAACGCTACGCGCGTTGTTGCCGCACTGCAATCTCGCTATCGGCGTGCGCTATCTCTCGCGAAAGGGCATTCAGCGTTTCCTGCTGCCTCAGCGCATCAGAAACGGTCTGCGCCTCGCGCTTAAGTTTTCGGTACGTCTCCTTCGCCTCCGAAAAACACCTCTTGCCCTCTTCAAGGCGGCGGCGCAGTTGTGCAGCCTCCTGCTGATGCGCCGCCTCGGCCGCATCACGCTCCGTCTTGCGGGAGATGTAGGTCAGCTTCGTCTGCGCAGCAACATCGGCCCAGTAGGCGAGCATCGCTGCCACGTTGGTGTCACGCCACTCAACGCGCGTCTGCAGGGCGGCGGCTGCTTCGGTGAAGGCGGCCTCCGCTTCCGCGCAACGGGAAGACAACGCGGCGAGCAGTTTCTCTTGCTGCCGCACGACGGCCTTTACATCCTTCAAGGCAGCTCGCCAGACGGCTTCACGAGGTGGTACGGCGTCCGCGTTCGAATCGGGCAACGCAGCGTCCACCACGTCCGCCAATGCATGGTACCATGCGGCCGGTGGAACTTTCCCCTTCAACAGCAGTACCTCTCGTCGCTCCCCAATGGACCCTATCACGTCCTGCAGCTCCCCTCGTGCTTCCCGCATCTTCTCGTCATTAGAGTCGCATTGCTGCTCATACGCCCTCTGCGCTTCCACTGCCTGTCGTTGCTGCACTCGCCGACGCTCCTGGCTGCCGAGCAGCTGGGTGAGGCGGTCCATGACAGTCTTGCGCGCCGCCTCCCGCTCGAGCAGCAGCCGCTGCAGCTCGTCACGCAGAAAATCCGCAGAGGCCAAAACGTGAGAGGGGGAGTGCGGCGTTGCCTTCAACTCGCGCAGGGCGACCGGCGCACCGCTTACCAGGTCGACTTGAAACTCGCGTGCCAGCAAGAGAAGCTGGACGTCGCGGAGAAGGTCAGCGGGCGGCGCTGGAAAGACGTAGGGGAGGGTGTAGGTGGAGGGGAAGACGCCTCGCTGACGCCGGAGGTTTATACCGAGCCACCACCCACTGGCATCGGCATCCACCACGTAGATAACATCCCCCGCCTTCAATGGAAGAAAGCCCTTTCCTGGAATTTCGTAGTCGTGTATGGCGTACACCACGTGCTCCGCTGGCTGCACCATGCCGCTGCTGTCCAAGAATGAATTGTGCAGTAGAACAAATGAACTGCTGTCTTTTAAGGGGAGCAGACGCAACCTGAGAAAGAGAGACGCGAGAGAAAAAAAAAGGGAGGGGATAGTAAATAAAAAGAGACGCCGACACCGGAGGTGGACGACAGTCGCCAACCAAAGATTGATGTACATGGAAACGTTTCCCCAGTCGTCAAGGCGCAACATACATGTGTATCAACACTTCACAGTGCACGGAACAAAGTCAGTTCTCGGCTCTCCTGCTAGCGCCAAGATGAAAACTCATATGCTGCGCAGGTTGTGATGTCTCGTGCCCTATTCATGATGTTTGTGTGCATTACAATCGGCATCTTGGTGTGCATATCCATTAGCGCAGGTCTTAGCAGGGCATCCAACCTCACTGCGGCTCGATCTGTTCCACCGTGTACTCGTGGCCTTCCTGCACGTGCACTTCGCCTTTCGCACCAGGAAGCAGCAGCTCGCCTTCCTCGTTCTGAAGGGCGGCACCTGTGCCGAAGAGGTGGTGCGGGTACGTGACGCCACTCACCGTCTCGAGGCCGACGTCGAGGTTCGTCAGGGTGACGGTAAACCGCCGCGGCAGGCAGTTCATACTCATGAGTGGGAGACGAACGTGCTTCTTGCTGCTTCAGCCTGAACAGTCTCCTTATTCTCTACACGCAACAAGACTTAATAAACAGAAGACGAGGAAGTGTGAGAATTCGCCACGAAGAGAGAGAAGGAATTGAGAGGACACAAATCTGAAACCACCACCGTGAAGAGCAGCAACAGCGTTCGACTGAAGGTGCTTTTCCCCCTTGGCGAGTGAAGCTTTTCGCCTCACTGTCCTGCTCGACGACATGAATACAGTCGTCAAAGGCGATGAGACTCATGCCTTGGGTGCTGCTGTCTTACGTACGGAACGTTGTTTTTCTTTTCGGCGCGACCACTTTATTAGTAAGAGGAAGAGAACAGAAACACGTGAGAAGCTGCGATGGCATATTAAGATTATTTCGTCTCTCTTCCTACGAGACGCCATACAAATCGTGAAAGCTGCCGTAGCGCAGGTCAAACACCTCACGCAGCGCAACCCACGGCGACGACTCAGCTGGCAGCGCGAAAGCGAGCACAACGGTGTTCTCGCCGGGTTGGCACTGGCGGATGTACTGCATTTTCTCGCAAAATCGCTCCGACACATTAAATGGCGACGGCTCACGCACCCGCCGTTCGTAGTCAAGCGACCAGCTCTCCGTGGGTTGGTGCTCCTGGAGCAGAAAGTGATCGCTCTTCAGTGCGGTGCACGAACTAGGGTCGCGCAGCACGGCGGCCTGCAAGCGCTCCGGTCGACGCACCACGTGCCGGTAGTGCGCCACCGCATCGGCGGCGCTTAACGGAGCAGGAGAGTCCGCCGCAGCGGACGGCTCGAACAAAAACGAGAGGTGGTGCTTTGCTGCGAACTCGGCGAAGAGCGCCCGATTCACGACGTGGGTCGGATAGGGCACCGTCCTCTCCCTGTGGGGTACGGGCAAGACGACGTCCTCCGTCGTGTACTGAGCAGCTTCCACGTCGGATGCGACTTCGGAAATCTGCACTTCACCGTGCAGGCCCACACATCGTACCAAATCACCTTTAACGGGTCGGCTGCCGTAACTCAGCAGCCGCTGCGACGCCATCGCATTCCACACAAACGCCGCCGCGCTAGTCTCACTGCGGTCTGCCACGCCACAGAGGTCCCACACGGCGTGCATAGCCGTTGTCCGCGCCGTGTCGAGGCTGGGGTGGTGAAGATTGTGGTAGTGCTGAAGGGAACGGAGAACCTCACGCGTCTTCTTTGGCAGCCTCGCCCTTTCGCACAGTCGCAGCCACTCGCCGAGCACACCGGCCGCCGTGCCCTCCTCGGCGTTGGCGTACGCGAGGTACGACGGGTGGTGCAGCGGGTTGCTCTCGGCGAGCGTCTGCAGATATCCACCGACAGCATGGTGGACATCACCGCTGTGGTACGACGCGGCGAAATCAAAAAGGGTGTTGCTGCCCACGCCGAACGTTTCCACGCCGAAATAGTTGATGAAGCCGTCGGTGCTGAGCCGCCGGAGCAGCGCCGACACTGCCGCCTCGTCCCCGGTGACGCAGCGCAGGACCACGCGGTGGAGGTGCCCACGTGGGCCAGCCGACAGTTTCTCCAGCTCCATAAGACTGTGGTAGCTCCTGTCGTCGAAGACGAGCGGGTGCACGTTGTAGCGGCGGGAGACGTGCGGGAGCTGCTCACGCGTCACGCCCACTGCGAGGCCGAACTGTGTGATGGAGGCAAAGGAGCCACCGGGTGGCGGGTGGAGGTACACGGCATCCGACGAAACGCCGATCTCGTACTGAAAGCGGTGCCGCACCGCCTCCAGCGAGTATCCGTCGCGGTACATCACAAAGCGGAGCAGCGGCTGATCCTCCGGCAGCTTTCCCAGTCGCCGCACGTACTCGCCGTAGCTCTGCACGCGTGGAGTGTAAGTTTTCTCCGGATCACTGAAGGGCGTCGCCGTGTCCTCGACGAGCAGCATCTTTGACCGCGACACTTTGCGCCACCTCGCTCGTGGTGACCTCTCGAGGAACGCACCGTGATCCGACGCGTCGACCTCGTTAACTTGCGCGTCGGTTGTTTGCGCTCGCACCACGGCCAATAGCGGGGTTCCGTTATGCAACGACGGCAACGTGGATGATGATGACAACGGCGGAGGCGGAGATAACAAGCGTTGAGGGCCGCCGGTCTCCGACAGACGTGCCACCATCCCGCACCGTCGCTCCTCTGCTGCCACGTCACGGCCGGCGTTCCAGTCGTCGCGGCTGTAGATGGCTCCGACCACACCGGCACCACGCGGCGAAGCAGCGGCGCCGGCCAGCCGTGTGATGGGGCCGCGGCCCAGGGCTTTCATGACAACGTGTGAAAACTGTACGGGAAATATTTAAAAAAAAAGGTGTGAGAGTGGAAGAGAGAGGAGAAGAAGATCTAGAGACAGACAACACGGAGACGAGAGCCGAAATGCATCGTTGCGTCGGTTACGAGGAGGCGTTGACACTTCTCTTCTTCCCCACTTCCGAAAGCACTTCATTGTTCAACGTAGTAAAGCAGCTCGGCCCTCATTTGCCGGTGAGAGCGAGAAACAGTGTTGCGCAAGAAGCGCAATAGGTGCATGTGAATACCTAAAAAGGAAAAAAAGAACAGCATACTCACCGCAGGAGCACTGGACGTGGCACTTGTCCATCCGACGAATTTACTTACTTGCTGTTCAACTCTAAATGTGCGGAACATGTATAGGTGTGAATATTTATATGAGTATGCGGATAGGGGGTCACCAGCGCAAAAGGAAAAGTATTAAAATATGTGAATCGGATCATATAGAAAGATCTAGTTTTCTTGTTAACAATGAACAGCAGGGTGCTTCGGCTCCTTATACTGGTTGAAGTAGTCAATGACAGCAAGTCGGGCGTAGGAAAGAAAAAAGCGGCTACACGTCACCACGATGTACTGTTTTAAGAGGCAGTTAAGATTCCAGAAGGAAATTAGAACGGCGATCCACGCAACGGGGTTCCAGAGAGATCGCACGAGCAGAAAGCTGTACAGCACCGTCAGCCCAGACATCATCTCACCCAGCACACACGCGCACGTCCACGTCACCGCCTGCGAGTACCACCACGACCAACGTACCGGTGGTGCAGTGTGACGGTAGTCGCAAGAGCAGTCGTGCTCATCGCTGTACTTGCCGTACACCGTGTTCTGGTGCACCGTGTCCTTCCACGGCGACGGCGTGCGCAGGTGTCTATCGACGATTTTGCAGGTGCGGTTGATGAGACGCCCGACCGCGATGGACAGCGGCGCGCCGACAAGGACGTCCACGACGGAGATGGCGCCGTACCAGCCAATGCCTTCCAGCGGCTTCCCGCGCACCGTGATGCCGCTCGCCGCCCACGACACCTTGGCAGTGAAGGTGTAGTTGACGAGAGAGGCGACAGAACCCGCCACGAGCATCTTAAGAAGGTCAAAGAAGAACACCACCGGCGGCCGTTTCTCCTCGCGCGCGCCAAGACGTCGGTAGTAGTACGAAGAGATAAAGAAGACGGTGGTGGCGAGTCCGAGCAGCACGATCATCAGCAGCCCACCGAGGCCGGAGTAAACCATGCACGCCAGCTCCGCCATCCTCTCATTCTTCTCGAATCCGTCTTCTTACGTGCGTGGACACGCATGCGACAACTAGAAAGCGAGGGGCGTAGGAAAAGAAAGGAGAACACCGGGGAGGAAAAGAGTGGGGGGAGGGAATGGGGAGAAGGCACAGCTCGTAAGTAAGAAATCGGCACGTCATCTGTCGACTGCCGCCATCGGGCACGCGCGCGATAGACCGCAACACAACATGTTCGTCGAAGGCACGCACTGCGCTTCGTTATACTGGGCAAAGTCAGGCGCGTGTTCCTCAGTAAAAAGCCCAAGCACGCTAAACAAGTTTTAGATGTGATCCCACCAAACCCAAAACCAACTGCAACAACAACAACAACAACAACAGGAGGCACTGCCAATGAAAGCGCAGTGACTAAAAACAAAAGGCGAGAGAAAAAGCACACGAGATGGGATCGCTGTGTAGCTGCGTGTACCTCCGCTGCAGACGCACGCTCACGACAGCATCGCCCACGACGTCTTCGCGGATTTGACGTACCGCTGCGTAGTGCCCTCGACCGCGTCCACCGCATACGACGCCTCTGCCTCGTCCCTCCACGGGTTGTATGGGTTGTCGTAGTGCGGTGCGTACATCGCCTGCTCGCTCTCCTCGGTGCGCGCCGCGGCCTCCATCTGCACCGTCTGCAGCGCCGGTGGAACATCGCCCAGTACCTCGCTTTCCAAGTAGCCGCGCTCCGGCAGCTGCGCGCGAATGTGCGGCGGAAGTATCATGAGCTTGTGGGTGAACATCTCATCTTCCAGCTGCATTAGGGCGCCTTCTGTGATGACGAGGACGTCATGGGTCAGTGCGTCGTAGGCGTTGAAGCGATTAATCGGGATGGGGTTCTTCTGCCCCTTCGGTCCCTTTGTCCGCACCTTGGAGGACGTCTTATTGTAATCGTAGGGCTCGTCGCATAACAGCGTGGGACACACCAGTTTGTTGCGGCCGTTGAAGAAGCTGCCGAAGAAGAAGGCGCGGTCGTACTCGCTGCTTGGAGTGAGGCGGGAGCCGCCGTCCATAAAGAGAACACCGCCACCGGTGTGGCGGACATCCCAGCCCATTGTGCGGCACAGCTCCAAGTACGCCTCCTGCGTCGGCTCTTCCAGCGTCAGGCGCTCCACTATTTGCAGTCTGCCCTGCAGCATCTTCAAGGTAACAAGCATACGGTTGCTCTTGCTCCACGTCTTCACGTCCATCGTTGGCATCAGCATGTTCCACGGCTTCACAGGATTGGAGTGGCCACCCCACGGGTGCGCGTGGTTCTTGCGGTCGCTCACGCGGGCCATGCCCATGCCGGTGTTCGGCCAATTCTTCTTGGCCTTGCGCCAAATCTCACGCGTTTCGTAATCCCACTTGCTGGAGAAGTTTTGGCACCGCACGAGCCAGTAGCTAAGGTTCTTCGCCATCTCCTCCGTCTCGGGGTAGAGACCGAAGATGAAGGGGTCGAGCTCGCGCGTGTGGGTGACGACGTTGTTCAGGTCAAAGACCGGCGCGACGATGCGCTGCTTCATCGTGCCGACAGGATAGACGATCGGCCGCGTAGCCGGGAAGTGCGGCAGCTCCGGCAGCTCCTTGGTGAAGTACGGATGTGGCCGCTGCGGAGAGGGAAGGTAGGGCGATACATGCGGGCGGGTGAGGCTGTTCTCGGGATGAAAGAGGGGGAGGGGGTGGGCACCGGAGAGGAGCTGCTGCGGGCCTGCGTAGAGAAAGTCGCCTTCGTCGCGCGGCGCGATGTCGTGCACGCCGGAGGCACGGCCATCGTACCGCGCGTCGAACACAAAAGTGCGGGCAGCCGCCAAGCGCGTGAGGGACGTCGATGCCACACGTCGCATGTTTCCGTTACTATTGCTGCCGCGAACCTTCTCCAATGCTGTACTGTCAGAAAACCCCACAAGACCTTTGAAGCTATATTTGTTGTTGACGGAGAGAACAGAAAAGAAAAGAGGGAGAGTGTGTGTGTGTGTGTGTACAGCGGAGGTCAGCACTACGCACATACCAACACTAAAGGTACAGCAGCACCGTGCGAGAGACACCTCTGCCACTACGACCTGCCGAGTTGAGCGCCTCGACGAGGAGCAGCGCCAACAGCATCCCATCAAGAGGAAGCAGAAAAGAATATGAAGCGGCATCGTTACGCTTGATGGACGGCGTTGACACCAACACAAACAGTCCAGTATTAACAGTCGCTTCACAAAGCGCTTTGCTGGTCGCGATGGCACCTATTTTTATTTCTCGAACTCCGAAGTTTGCACCAGGTCTTTAAAAACGCTGTTGTACACCCGATGTGAAGCACCTCACAACGGGCAAACGCACACGCACAGAGAGAGAGACTTCCACATGCTCAAATGCGCCACCATAACACAAAGCCGCAGCACTCATATAATAATAGAAACACACGTTGTTTTCGCAGCATCACAAACCTCAACACAAAGTTACGCCATACAGTACACGACACTGAAGAAACACCATTTCAATAAGAAAAAACTGGAAGAACGAAAGTAGAGGGCGAAAAAAAAAGATTGATTGAAACAGAAGAAGAGCCCCAACGATCCAGCCGGCCTCGCTTGCGTCACTCGTGGCCCTGGCCGTTATACAAAGATTTTTGTGTCAAGGTCAACGAGCTGAACTCCCTCAACTTTTTCTCCAAGTCGCAGATTAAGTGCAGCTGTTCATTGATTTCGTCGTCACGTTGAGCAAGTCGCTCCTTCAGTGCTTCATTCTCTTCCCGCAGCTGCTCGTTCGACTGTTTCAGTTCCGCATTTTCAGACTCGAGAGCAACGTAGCTGCTAAAGGACTGCGCGCTTGCCGCCGTGAGTAGTGAGATTTGATTCTTCGCTGCCTGCAGCTCCGATGTTAATGCGCCGTGCGACGGCATAGAGGCCGCCCCAAACGGCGCTGACTGGGTCGTCCTCGTCCCATTCACGTGTGGCTCCTCCGCATGGTACGCGATGTCCGCCACAGAGAAGGAGGTCTGCGTTGGAAAGAGACGATACACCGCGTGCGGCAGCGTTGGCTTTTCCGCCGTCACGTTGCTTGCGTCGTTGCCGCTGCTGCCGCTGCTCTTGTCTGGTGCCAGCGCACACGTCGGAGCTGCACGCCCCGTGCGAATGTGACTCAGCGGTGCCGCTGGTGCACTCCACGCCCGGCAAACACGCATAGCTACGTCTACCTTCCCATTATTTTCTGACCTACGCATGCACAACAACAGCCCCCACAAAGAAGGGAAAATGAAGGAAAGTCAACCAATACGTCCAACAAGGTACGAGACGAAAAGAAGAGAAGTTATAGGAAAAAGGAGCTAGTTGAAAGAACGCCAATCGCCAAAGTTCAATAACAATAAAAACAATAGTTGCCGTAACACCGGGCAGGACCAATAGTATATAATATGGTACGATCAAAGGGCGAAGCCGATACGGATTTTATACAGACTCTTTCCTTTTCTTTTATGCAGTTTATGCGCCAAGATCGGAGGTGGTTTCTTCGGGCTGCGGGAACATCGATAAAATTACCGCTTGAAGACGTGCGCCGCGTTCCGCGCAGCGTGTTACAACAATTCCGAGTTAACGAAGCGGCTGCTTTCCTTTGTATAGTTTACTTTTCAGGGTACTCAAAAAAAAAAGGGGCGTCTTTTTGTTTATATTTTGCGTGTGTGGGTGTTTAACTCGCGTTTGTCAACTGAGGTGTGGAATCGGAAGGGTGGGTGTGGTGGACGGAGGTGTCGTGAATGAACAGATGTGCCCACGTCGAAGAGGGAGGAAAGGGGAAGGGGATGAGGAGCAACAGCAGGAGTTACAGTACAGAAGAAACACGCGGGCCTCATTTCCTCGCAGGTGGTCCCTTTGGAAGAGAGGTGTTTTCTCTTTTCCATTCTGGAGGAGAAAATATATATATATATATATCTTCTGTAATGGGCACGCAATGCAGTCGTCGTCGCGGCGCCGTCGCTTATTCTACTTGGCTATTTTGTTTGCAGCGGGTGTGCGTTGAACATCATCCGTCACAACGCGCTGCAATATCGAAAGAAATCAAAAAGCTTGTTGTGTAGAGATTGGCGCCTGACAGGGCAGAGATTCTTTTTTTTTTTTCAAGGAAAGAAGATGAGACGGCCGGTAAATGGGCCACCCGGGCGGAGAAAGCGACGGCACAACGATTTCAAGGAAATAAAGAAGGCGGTACGCTTCACCGCCCTCACCGCACCACGCAAGGGACGGCCAAGGTGCAGGAAACCGGCAGATGCGGGGTTGTCATCTCCGCCTCAAAGTCAGCCATCGTCAACAAGGAAGCGTCTTGGACCGCAGCACCGGTGAAGGTGGAGACGAAGACGTAATCGTAGCAGTCGGGCACCACGTCGCCATCTTCTCGGTACACGGCGGTGGCGACAGGCTCGCCGAGGGCCCGCCGCGCGTCGCTCAGCAGCTCCGTTATGTGGCTCGCTGACGGCTCACGATGCCGCAGACGGTCACAGAACGCTTCGGCCGCGTCAGCACGGACCGTATTGGCGGTGGCGCTGCGGAGGAGAGGTTCGCCAACGGGAAGCCCGTCTGCGTCTTGGCGCTGCGGCGATAGCACACCAAACGAACGGACGCGGAAGCGAACAAAAAGCTCTGCACATTCATCTTTTCCGGAGATGTCGTCGTCGCACGGCCATTCCAGCTGCGCCACTATTTGGTCCGCGTTGGAAGTGTCTCGAGGGATGAACAGCATCCACCACCCGTCGGCTTCGCAGGTGAGGGGGTCCTCGGCGTCGCACTCCCCCGTGGCTGGGTTCAAACAGGAGAAGTGAAGGTCAACCAGTGTGACCACCGGACCGTCAGCAGCACCACGCCGTACCTGCACACCGAGAAGCTGTCGACAGCGGCTACCACCCTGCGCCTCCGCAGCAGCGACACAAGTCACTACGGCAGCCTTGCCGGCCGCATCCGTCTCGTTCTCCTCCCATCTGACCCGCTCAAAAGGCGGCACCACCGTTTGCGCCACAACCTCCTCCACGAGGCCACCGCTGAGCGACGTCATCAGCAGGTACGGTGGGGATCCGGGAACAAAAAAGAAGCTGCCCGCAAGAAACACGTGCGTGCAGCCCCACAGCTTCGTTAAGCACCGGCTGCCGTCCCAGATTTCGCGGCACAAGACGCTCAGCAGGCTGCAGTGGAACGCATCCCCCCACCCGCGGTACTTCTCAAAGTCCACGTTGACGACGAGAAGACGCTGCGCCGCGGCCCGCATGGGAGGGGAAAGGGAGGACGCCGTCGCCGCGGCTGGCCAGCTCTGCGGTAGCATTTCGTAGGCCGCGAAGCCAACAAAAGCTTTCAGTTTGCTCAGGTGAAAACGGGAGACGCTGAAGGAGTCGGCCACCGAGGGCCGCTCGTCCGCTGCCGCGAGGAGGGGCAGCATCAGGTTTACCGAATGTTTATAAATCACCCGCACACGTTCCTTGTTGTGCACGAACGCCAGACCGGAGGCGGGAACGACCTCATACGCTGCCGGCAGCGACTTGAGCTGCTTATTGATGTTCACGCCCTGCAGACACCATACATCGGTGAGGCGGTCACCGAGAATACGTTCCTTTGGTCGTTCACGGCTGCTGTTGACGGAGTGAAAGTTTAACTTATACGTTGTAATCCGAAAAGGAATGGTGTGATCTGCTGGCGACATTTTTGCCGCGCACGTGTCGGCTTTTGGGCTTCAGTGCACTCGTGGTGCGGCTGCGCACCGAGGACGGCTCCCACCAAAGAAAAAAGAGAAAGGGCGACTCGAAAATCACCGATGGCGATTCGGTCGAAAGTTTTGGCCTCGCGGCTGTCGTCTCTGCCAACCAACTAGCAGAAGAGGTTCGGAAAGATGAAGAACAGCAGATGCAAAACGCGGTAAATGCAAACACGAAGCCATTGCTTGTTATTGAAAATCTTTTCAATATGTGTATGTTTCTGAAAAGGACGCGTCGTATCGTGCTTGTGCGTTGTAAACCTTGCACATGGACAGCCGACACCTCGATAGTATGGCATGCTCCGACGCAGGCCAGACACGGAACGAAACCGCTAGCGTGTGTCATCACAAACCCATTCAATGATGGTTCTCTTTGCGCTGTGAGAGCCGTAGGCACCATAAACACCTTGATAGCTGGACGGCATAATGGAAGAGAGAAGAAGATAAAACTTATACGAACAAAAAGGAGGCGTGTCACGATGGCACAACGAGCGCACGCAGCGAACACATCGGTCGCGTCGCAATGAGCTTCGAAAGCGGGGGTAGAAAGTCATCAGGAGCGCACACTAAGACAAGCGAAGGATTCGTGTCAATACAAAAGTCCCATTCCTTCACCGCAAGAACACAGTGTCTCCGTATGTACGCAGACCTGCCAAAAAGAAAAGGGGTGTGGGAAGGCAACAAAATGAACCAGGCAAATAGAGCAAAAGAACTGGTCACTTCGCATCGCTGCCCAGTGTCAACACGCGGCAACCCGCAGCTCTCAAGTGGGCGTGCGTTCAGGTGAAGTCCCGCATCAATTGCCGGTGTTGCCCGACCAGAACTTATAAAACGTCGCCTACTGTAGCGTACATATGCGGTGCTTTCGCTTTTTTTTGATTTTTGCACTTCCGTTTACCGCCGCACTCGCGGTGGCAGCGGCTGCCGCCGTCGTGCCACTTACTCGTGGCGCCGCGCTGTTCGCATTCGCAGTCCCACTTGCGCCAGTTGCGGCGGCGTCCACAACTGCGGAGGCGCCGCCACCGCTGCGTACGGTGCGCACCAGCTTCTCAAAGACCTGCTCACACATCCTGTGGTCCTTCGCGGTAATCTCCAAGAACGGCGCGTTCATCTCTGCAGCGAACTGCGCCCCTTTTTCGTGGCTCACTGCACGATAGGCTTCGTGATCAGCTTTGTTGCCCACTAACACGCACGGTGTGGAACGGCCCTCTCGAAGGTGCTGAAGAGTGGAGTAGAGGCGACGAATGTGCGCGAAGCTTTCCGCGTCCGTGATGCTGTACACCAACACAAAGCCTTGCCCTTTCCGGAGGTACTGATCTCGCATGGCACCATACGCGTCTTGCCCCGCCGTGTCCACCAACGTCAAGACGGCGGTCGTGTTGTCAAGACTAATCGTTTTGCGGTACACATCCTCGATCGTGGCGTCGTACTGATCTACAAAGTGGCCTTGGAGGTACTGGATGGTGAGGCAGCTTTTGCCTACACCGCCACCGCCTAAGACGACTACGGAAATATCCGGCATGGAACATGAGGGTGAGAGAAGGAGGAGTGGGAATGCTGGAAGTGCCAGAAACCCGACAAACAACAATCGATGCCCAGCAGCAACAACAACTGAAAACGAAGAAACAAGTGGAATGGTACAACACGCCTCGCAGCAGCGATAATACAAGAGGAGGCACGGAGAAACACGCCCGTTCGAAGGGTCTATTTGAGTTTTTCACTCTACAGTTCCTTGTTTGCTTCTCGCGGGCGGGAAAGACCAAAGGAGAAGGAAAATGGGAAGAGGTGGAACGTCGGCCGTGTGAAGAACATTTGTGGGTTTTTTTGCTGCAGTGGAATGAAGTTGCCCGAAGTCTCCAACAACTATTGCTGTGAGGTAGAGACTGCATCGTGCAAGTGAGCAACGCTGCTCCGTTCGGTAGGGTCCAAAATGATACAGGCTGGTTGCGACCGCGCCGACGAGTCCAGCGCACAGCTCGCCTCTCGCGAGGTGAAGACAAAGACGTAAAGCGAACGTGATAGAGGGTGTGCTGCCCAACCACCACCATTGTACCCAGGACACACGAATTAGCGAGGTAAGACGTTGGGGAGACGCGTGAGGTAGCGGCGAGGCGATAAGCCAGAAACGGTAACCGAAAACAAAGCGAAATATATCTCAACAGATGCACCAACAACACTCGGCGAGGAGGAACAACTTGCCACTTCGCCTACCACTTACGCGGTATAAACGATGCCTCGTCGAGCCGTTGTCCGCTTGATGAACATATACGCCAGCGGCGCCGCGATGACGTTCACCGCCGTGCACACGATCATCGGTGCCGCGATGCACACCACTCCCTCGCAGGAGCCGCCACCCACGTGCCCCTGACGCTCGCCATAATGGTCGTACACCGGGCCAAACAGAGCCATGTTGAAGATCAGCGGCGACAGCATGCCCGCCGTGTAGAGAAAGCTGTAGTGCTTTCCACAGTTGTGGTCAGCGAAGAGGGAGGTGATGACGAGCACCGTGGTGCCCCACGAAAAGCCCACACCGAGGCCCACCACAAAGAAGGGAATAAAAAGCATCCTCGACGGCGACAACAGAAACATCGGCAGACCCACGATGTTCAGCAGCGGTGCGAGTGGGAGCAGCACCGAAATGGGCATGCGGTGCCGCGCCAGACGAGGGTGCAAGCAGCCAACGATGATGCGGCCCACCGCGCTCGCAACGCCGTAAATGGAGACGAAGACCGTGTTGACCGTCAGCGAGAAGGAGTCGTAGGCGAGGGCCTGGTAGATCTGACTGCTGTTGGACGACACCACCGTCATGGCACTCCAGGCGCCGAAGCAGACAAACCACAGCAGCCACACCTCGCGGTGGCGGACGTTCACCCAGAGTGACTCGTCGTTGAGGTGGAGGGCAAAAGGGTTGTCAGGACGCTCCTCGTCCGACGCGGGTGCGTTGTTTACCACATCGGCAGCCGTCGGCGAGGGGGGAGGGGAGCCGGAGGTGTGCGCCACTGCACCGTGCGGGTGGACCGTGCCCTTGGCCACAGCGGTGTCGTTGTCAAAAGACTTCAGCTGCACCGGGCTCGCCACCCCCGCCGTGGACGTCTCCGTACAGAGAGCCAAGTCTTCGACCACGCACTGACTCCTGTCTCCCTCCTCCAGCTCCGTTGCGGTCCAGTCAGCAGTAACCGTCGTGGTCGTTGCCCTTGAAGGCATTCCGTCAAGCTCCACCGCCTCCCGCCCAGCGCCGGCCCTCTCCCCTCTCTGGCGGTTCACTTCGTAGCTGGGGGTGGTGAAGATCATCGAGGTGAAGGACATACACAGCAGGACCGTCGCTGCACCGATCCACGCCCGCATCGCAGCCGTCAACGTCACGAAGTTCTCCACGAGCGTCGTGACGAGCACAAAAGCCACGCCGACGCACAAGATGGCGGTGCCGACGTTGAACGGCGTGCGGAACATCCGCGGCTCGCCGCCACCACGCGCTTTGGTCTCGGCGTCCTCAACGTTGAGGCCGACGCACCGCGTCTCCGGCGTGGGCAGCCGCAGGTACAGCACCGCCAGCGTACCCGCAACGGCAGAGTAGAGAAAGAGAAAAGCAAAGAATGGGGCAATGCCGCTGAACGTCTTCTCAAAGAAGGCGACATAGATCTGGGCCACGAGAGAGCTCCCGAGGCCCATGAACGTTTTCTGGATAAGAATAACGCGTCCCTGATAGCACGAGAACGACTTCAAGTTGGTCAACACGCTGCCCGTCTCGTAGAAGCTGGCGGAGAACTGGGAGAGACCAAAAAAGAAGGCCATCACCACCACGCTGTTGGAGAGCAGCGGGTGCTCCATGTCCTTGAAGATGAAGTACATCCCCACCCAGCCCGTCACGTTCAGAATGGTGCCGGCCAGCAGTGTGGCAGCGGGTCCGCGGCGGTCGAACAGGAAGCCCGTCGGCATGGAGAAGTAGCTCAGGAGCACGCCTACCGTGGACACCACGTCAATCTGCGATTGGGTGTAGCGGAAGGCGCCTCTCTTCATGTAGGGACTGAAGATGCCAAAGGTGAAACACGCGCCGTTGTTCACGCAGATGAGGATGCCGATACAAAACTGGCAAAACCACGCCTTCTCGAGTGTACGTTGCAGGAGCGTCGTTGGATACGTGGGGTAGACCGCGCGCACGGCGGCGTTGACGCCGGTGTTGAGCGTCATGCACTTTATAAATAGAACGGTGAGGCGAGGAGGAAGATCATCCGAATACACCACGCGAAGGGGTTGCGCGCCGACGCTCGACGCTTCGCATGACAACTCCCAATCAGCAGGGAGAGAGAACAAAAAACTAGAGAGAAAGAGAGGAGGGAAAGATAAGTGCCGCCGGCTAAAACAGCACGAAGGTAATTGCAAGAACAATGCAGATCCATTTCATACCAGGACTATCAAAGCACATCAGACAGCACGGGCGGGTGCGGGTGCGGGTGCGGGTGCGGGTGCGGGTGCGGGTGCGGGTGATTTCAGCTGTTGGCGAGTACACACTGGTCCGACCCGACAGGTAAACACAAGAATGGCACTATTTTTGCCAAAAGCAAAAAAAAAAAACGCACGTCGTTCAGTTCACACGCACACGGGCACGGCAGCCACCACTGTCCGCAGGTCGAGCGCAAACAAAGGAAGGAAGACGTTGTATTGTGTCTGTCTGTGTGTGGGTGTGGCGCATGCACTCTTCTCTTACCTTTCGTTCCTTTCTGGCTTGGTGGACGCCGGACTCACCGCCTAACGACGAGGCCATATGAAATGCTACATAAAAATCAAAAGGGGGATGATGCGCCGCAAGCAAATAAACGGAAAAGAGGGCTTTATACATTTTCTTGCCACGTGAGAGCATCACAGGTGGAACACCGCATCGGAGTTGTTTTTTTCCCTATTTTACATGAAGCACCGAAAGCCACAGCAAAGCTCAGCAAACCCCTAAGGCAAAGAAGAAAGCAAACGCATGCATTCCTCGGCGAATCCACGGAGGTGTACACCAAGTGAAAGAAGAAAAGAAAACGGCGACACGGTCAACTCGGCACGATCGGTGCCGCTGTCGACTCCTCCGAGTCGGAGTCCTCACACCGCTCCTCCTCCTCCACCATCTCCCCGTCCTCCGTGTTGTCTGCGGCGACCTTCAACGGATGCTGCAGAGCCGGCTTGCTGACCGACCACCCAGCGCACGCCACACCACGGCCCATCTGCACGTTGTGCGTTGCATCGGTGGTGCACCACACCACGCCCACCTCCATCGCGCCACCTTCGTGGACGACGGTCAGCTCCGAGTCCACCACGCCGAGCGGCTGCCATCCGGAGAGTTCGACAGTGACCTCCACGGTAATGCCCGGCGCAACGAAGTGGCGGGGATAGGACACCACAAGAAACGGCCGTACCGCCACGGAGGAACGCACGCGGTAGCGACACGGCACCGTCGACGTGTTCGTCAGCTCAAACATCGCGACGTAGCGACGGCCACGGTGCACGTTGCCGAAGTCGATCAGCTGCGGCTGCACTGACAACATTGGTTCGTGAAAGCGAGAAGAGGCGGTGGTGCCGGCGTGTGCGTCTTCGGCGGGGGAGTAAGACCGCATGAGCGGCACCTTCGCACACGCCTGTGCGATCCGCTGCGAACGGGACATGGACGACGGCGACGGCGCGGCAGCGGTAGCGCTTTCCGCAGACCTCACGGCGGCAACAGCCGCATCGGCTGCGTCGAGGGCTGCTGCGCCAACCTCGCGCTCACCATGATTTGAGGTGGGGGAATCGTCTGAAAGAGGTAAGCGCGGGCAGCACGGCGAGCTCCAGTAATTGAGCGCGCCAGAAACGTGGCTGACAGGGGACAATGAGGGGACGGTTGCCATCCGCGTTGTCGTCGTCTCCGCCTCCGCCGCCTCGTGATGGGCGGTCGCTTGGGTGGGCAGCTGCTCAGTTTCGTCTTGAGCGAGCTCGAGCGACGGAGTCGGGTCCTCCACGTGCGTGTCGTGAACGCTGTTTATTTCGACATCGGCGTGCACCTCCGTCGTACCCGCAAAGACGTCTGTCACCGCCTCCGCATCGTGCACGCTGCGACCGTGACGGCACTCGTCCAGCGCAGTCGAGAGGTCTGTCGAGGCGTACCAGGCCGGTGTTGTCGACGACGACTTGTCAGGGAAGCGAAGGACAACACAGCGCTGCGGCGTAGGTGCGGCCTCGCTGGTGGCTTCGTCGTCCACCACCGTGAGCGGGTACAGGTCGTCCGTGCGTTTTTCACATCGTTCTACATCGAACGCCAGTGCCGAACATGCACGAGTCGGCGACGCTTCCTTCGATGGCAAGCGACGCAGTACCGTCTCCGGAAGTGCGCTCAGCCACCGCGCGTAGCTAGACCACGACGCGGCGTCCATCACGGTCGCCACTGTGGAGTCGACATCGTTGAACGCTGTGCACTGCACTCGCCGCCCGTGCGCGTCGGCGGAAGCGGTGATCGTGCCCGATAGAATTGAAAGAGGACCACCCTTCTCCTCCACGTTGCTCCCAGCTTTTTCTTCTTCCTCGGTCACCACCTCAGAGCTGAGCTCGGGCGGGTTGCGCCGCAGATGCAGCACCGCTGTGTGTGCGGTGCTTTCCTCGTCACCGTCGTCGTCAGGCGACGGCCCCCCGCTCTTCACCGGGCCACCCAGCGCGCGGTGGAAGGCTTCACTGACGTACTCCGCCTGCAGTACCACCTCCGGCGTCTTCTTCTTTGGACACTTGTACTGCGGCGGCAACACAAGCTGCCATGGCGATGCGCCAGCCTGCGTCACCGCAGCCTCCTCGGAGCACCGACCAAACGGCGAGACGCGGTAGAGATGCGACGTGTGCACGCGCCCGCAGACCCCACCGTACGCGCAATCCACCACAAACCCGCCGTTGTGCGGCGCTGCGTCGCTCCACAGCGTGAGGCGGGACGTGCGAAGGGAAAGGGTCGCGGCGACGCTGCCGTGCCTGTTCGGCGTACCGTTCATGCGCAGTTCAAAAACACCGTCATCGGGGGCGTAGACCCAGCAGTCCGCCCCGTTGCTGTCGAGGGCGGCGGACACGTTGCGCGTGGCGGCATCGCAGGTGATCACCGGCAGGCCGGCCACTTGCCAGCGCCACGCGTCGGTGCCGTCGCCCTTGTGCACCGCCACACCAGGACCAAACAACGTCTTCGACAGAGCACCCAACCCGGCAGTGGCGCTGTGCTCTCCCTCGCCTGACTTCGCTGGGCTCACAAACTCCTGTTGCAGGCCGTCCTCCCGCTCCGCACGGCGCAGCGCAGAATTCGTCACCGCGGTGGCCCAGCCGGAGTGCAGCTGATGCACGACCGCACAGCCCGCAGCGTCACCGCGGAAGAGCGTGCAACAGCCACCGGGATTCACAAAGAGCCGACCGGTGCCCACCTCGGTCAGGTAGCTGCCATTGGGATGCAGCAGCACCCGCACCGCCGGTGGAAGGTCCGGTGACACGATCTCCGCCACGCCGTCCACGTAGAAGTGCACGGCGGAGAGGCGCAACACCGGCAGCGTGCACAGTTGGTTGTCCCACCAGAGGTGCACCGTGAAGAGCGGGGAGGAGAGAGAGGTGGCCGCGTTGAGCTGAATACCGGACGCAACGTATTCGCTGCCCGGTAGAACAGCAAGGCGCACACCCGGCACGGCAGCACTTGACAACACCGACGTCAGCACGCAGCCTTGCGACGGAAATAACGCGAACACGCGCATCAGCGGTGGGGAGAGGGCCCTCGATGCAGCAGGCGGCTCACCGGATGATGACTCGACGGGTGAGGCAGCCGGCGGCGGCGGGAGGGCGGCCAGCAGCGTTGCGGTGATGTCCTCCAGTGAAAGCGGGGAAGCGGCCGCGCCGCCCTTCTCGCGCCCCCTGGCTGCCTTAGCGCCCTTGCTAAACTGCGCCTCGTACTGCGCCACAGCCGCCTCCTTCGCCGCGGCGACGGCGAGGGTGTAGGCGGCCAATTCGACGGCGTGTGAGTTGTCGGCCTCCACTTTTGTAAAAACGCGGAGACGGTCGGCCACGCTCAGGAATCCCCGCACGCCCGAGTCAAGAGTCCATTCGGGACTCGCTGGCGGTGGCGGCGGCGGCGGCGTCTGCGTCTGCTGGCCGCGAGGTGAAACACCCGATGGTGTCGCCGCCGGCGTCGTACTGCTGCTCTCCGCCGCGATGGAGGCGGGAGGTGGGGGGCACTCGAGCATGTAGCCGCCCTCCACTGTGCCAGACGGGTCCGCCATCACCGTGCAACGCACTTGAGAGCTGTTCGCCGCCGTCCGTGCGACCTCGATCAGCGTACCATCGGCAGCACACATCCAGCTCGTCTCGGTCACGACGGCCTGGCACCGATCAGCAGGCACGCCCATCTCCTGCACAGCCGGACGGGAGTGGCAGGCGCGCACCTGCTCCAGAATGCGGCGACGCCGCAGCTGCTTCAGCACCAGTGATGTATGGTCCACAAGTGCGGCAGCGGGGGTGACGGCGGTGGGTGAAGTGTTCAGCTTTGTGGCTGCTGTGGATACGGTCGCTGGCGCCGCTGCCGACGACGGAGGGGCACCGCTGTTTGCGCTGGCGGTCGACTGCGTGTCCGCCGCAGAGTCCTCCAGCGGGTCTTCTTCTTCTTCGGCTTCCTCCTCCTCCTCCGCCTCTGACTCGCTGTCGGAGGAGCCCAACTCGTACACGCGCTCCTCCGCCTCCAGGAAGTCTTCATCGCGGAAGAACTGCGAAAACGTCGTCGCCCCGCGGAAGACGAAGCCGCTGTGGGCGATGCGGTGCGCCCGGGCAGGTCGCTGCAAACAGCACAACGTGGCGGACCGCCAGGCGTGCGAGGCGGCGTACCAGCCGTGTTGTTCTCGCGCCACGAGAGCACGCCGCAGCCAATGCAGCGCATCGCCATCGCCGCTTGTGGACGTCAGCGCGGCAGAAATTGTGGAGAGAGCATCGGCGCCGTCAGCCGCCTCTGATGAAATGAATGCCGCCAGTGCCGCCTCGATCGTCTCTGCTGCTGCTACATCGGCAACACACGTCTGAGGCTCCGCCGCTGGCGTCGTCAAGCAAAAGGGGGTTCGCAACGCCTCCGTGTGGATCTTCGCGAGGCTCAAACTTCCTTCCGCGTCCACTTGCGGCGGCCAGCCCCCCACCCCGGCACCGCTGCCGACCACGTGCGAGTGGGCACACGCTTCCGTGGCGGCACGCACATCCTCCAGCAACTGCGCCGCAGAGGTCTCCGCACGGCTGCGCAGCACACTCGTGCCGTCCGCACAACTCACCTGATGAAGGCACGCGGCGAGGCACGCATGTAGGGCGGCCATCGAGTCGGTGTGCGGCGCGTTTGGTGTCTGCGCCGCGGCCCAACGCTGCATGAACGCACCGTACTCAAAGCGCTCCGCCGCGACCTCCGCCATGGTGCGCGGGTTCGCCACGGCGGGCACATCTGCCGCAGCGGCGGGAAGAGAAGCAGCGGCATTGACGATGGCGGTGGCCTCCGACCCGGTCGGTGCGCCGCTCTTCTGCTTGCTCAGGCGGTGGTCTGGCGGGTGGAGAAGGGGGTCCTCCGGCGTTTTGCCCTCTGCGATGGCGTCGGCGTCGCGTGGTGGGGCGTACGGCGGGACGCGCACGCAGACCCGACGACTGCGCCACGACTCGTACCGAAGCCAACATTGAAAGATGCGAAGGAGCAGCGCGTGCACGCTGGACACGAAGTGCGCAGGTGTGACCGACAAACGCACGGTCGAGGCCGCGCCACCGTAGGCGCGGTCCGTGACCTCCGTCGGGTACTCCACACGCTGAACGAGGACGTTCGGCAGGCCGTCGCCGTCGTCGTGCAGCTGTGCCGGTGCCCCGCTGAGGTAATCGAGTAGGTCGTTGGTAAACGCCGACCCACTCCGTACGTGCGACAGCGTCGAAGAGCTGCCGTTGCGGGCGGCGCGGCTCTTCGTCTTCTCGCCCGCGCCCGCTGGCCCGGCCTGTGCTGCTGCCGCTGCGCCTGGCACCAACTCCCGCACGCAGCACCGCGACTCGAGCAGCACCGCCGCCGCCACGCCAGGGATGCTACGAGCAAAGCGGTCCATCGCCGAACACGTGAGGGGGACGTTCAAGACGCACACGCAGGGCGGCAGGCGCCTCGAGGCCGCCCCACCACGCCCCTCCCCGTCCCCGCCGTTGCCGCCGCCCTCGTCGCCATTTTCGGCTTCGTCCGAGTCCGAGTCGGACGCGTCTTGAAGCTCGGCCTCGGCCGCCGCGAGGGCTTGCTCGGGTGACAGGCCGTCCTCGATGTACTCCTCTTGCAGGCTGGCAAGCTGAGCTGCTTTCGCCTGCGCCGCTGCCAGACGCGCCTCTTCGCGGGCAGCAGCAATGCGGCTCAGTTCCAGTTGCACGGCCGCCGTGACAGCCTCGGGGGCGGACCCCGGCGTGGTGGGGCGGGACGAGCCTCCTCCCTTCTTCGTATCGGACGGGGAGCCGTGGGGAGCGGCGACGGCGGCCGCGTTGACGACGTAAAAGTCATCAGCTTTGAAGTGCGACTGCAGCAGATGCGCCACCGCGGCTGCTTCGATGTGGTCCGTCGTAAGCGAAGACAGTAAGAAGAGAATCGGACGGAAGCTGTCTTGGGGGATGACGGGCTCGACAGCGGCAGGCGGCCGCGCCGGCGTCGCCTCGTCCGACGGTTTCTCAGCAGGCATTACGGGCGTGCAAACGTTTTTCTAGAAGCTTCGCAGAGGAAGAGAAAGGCAATGAAGGTGTAGGTCACAGGAGTTGTACGTGCAGAGAGCGCAACGGCGTAGAATGACAAGGCCTGGTGGAGAAAAACAAAAACCGGCAATGGACTCAATCTGCGCCGACTGGTGCACCCGCGCGTTGGTCGAAAGGTTATGCTTTGTGAGGAAAACTCCTTCACCATTCGAACTGATCCAAAAAAGGGAAAAAAACAACGAAGAGAGTAAGAAGAGAAACGGAGAAGCCGCTTTTGTTTGCAGGAAACAGCAGAGAGGCGCGGTGTTGCCAGAGAGCCGCTCTCACCGCAGCACAGAATTCGGAGCCTCGATAAGTGCTTCTACCAAGCATCTGCTTATTGTTGCTGCTGAAGAAGCGCAGCAACAGCAGCAGTATCTTCCATATCGTTAACAAGTTTCGGTGATGAGCACTTGAACTGCGTGACGCCTCAAAGGTTGTGACAGAGAAAACCTTTCTTTTTCTCGCGACGCATTTCTTCTTTACGTACGTGAACCGGCGTTGCGATCAATTGCGCCAAAGCCGCAGTTCATGAGGAGAGGTACGATGGTTGACGAAAAGCCCATGAGTATCGACACACAACGGCGACGCGCCGGGAAAGCACACCGACGAACGGGCTCGGGCTGGGCACGCGTCGCACACGGTGTGAGAACACCGCTGCAAGGAGTGCTTCGTGCGGTCCGAGGAGACAGAAGAGAACAACGGTTTTCGACTCGATAGGGAGTGATTGCAGCGGCAGTCCGGCGCGCGGGTGTGTCTCAATATTCAAACGTAGATGCGTTGAACAGAGAAGTAAAAGCCCCGCGCTCAGCGAAATGATGCATGAGTCCGGCGGCAGTGAACAACAACTAAAAAGCACAGCTGAAACGAGGGAGCTACACCGCCGCCGTGGTCGGGGGTAAAAGGAGAGGGAAACGGCAGAGCACATATGTGTTTCTCAGATTTCTCTTTCTCACTCCCACCTGCGTACCCACCGCGGACGGCGAGCAGAGGGGAGGAAGAGGGAGAGGGGGAAGGGGGGAGGGGGGTAGACGCGCCTCACAGATCACCGTCAGATGTCGCATTCGTGGAGGAGACCATGTAAAACGCCATCATGGCCAGCGCAGCCACCGAGTAGGCGACACTGTGCGTGCGCGCGTACACCAACGTGTAGGCCATGAGCGGAAGACTGACGAGGCGCACGGTGTGCTTGCGGTCGTGGTAGTAGTCCCCCATGCTGATCCGCAGCGGGGCGGCAAACGACTTCGTCAGCTGCGTGGCGTGCGCAATCAGCAGGCCTACCTTCGCGCTGTCACCGGAGAACTTGTCCAACGACGCCTGCGCTGCTGCGGTGGCCAACGATGTCAGAACGCCGGCCGGTACGTCCACCAGGAGCGTCGACACGGTGTAGTACAGCAGCGGGCTGTGCGTGGTGGCGTAGGGAGCCGCGACGCACCCGGCAAGAAGAAGAGCGGCGGACACGACCGTCAGCTTGTCCTCCGCCGTTCCAGACAACAGCAGGTTCGACTTCCACGTGGCGGCCCGCTGCATTGCCCACTTCAAGATATGCGGCATCCACACCATCTGCACCGCCATATTAAAGCACAAGTGAGCTCCCGTGAAGGTGTAGGGCAGCTGATACTCCGGACCCATCAGCGGGTAAGCCACCTGGTTGACTGAGGCCGCCACCAGCACGGCGGCGAGGGCAACCAGCGTGTGATGGGCAGCCGGCGAGGCCCGCCACAGTGACGGCAGCCACTTCGCGTACTCGAGTCGGGTCCGCACCGGCGAGGTGACGTGACGCCCACGCAGGTAGCGCACCAGCACCAGCACCGTCGCCAGAATCTCCACCAACGCGAAGAATTGAGCCACCTCAATCGCATCCTCCAGCACGTCCCCCGCCAAGCCGCTGACGGCCATGCCCGCCATCATGCCGTAGCGCGCCGCCGCACCCAGCTCCGCCGCCGACATGTGCAGGGCGGTGCCGGTGATGCCGAAGTACGTCTTGTCGTGGCGCAGCACGCCGTTAAGGAAGCGGGAGGCAAAAAAGAGGTAGAGGGCGCGGTGGGAGAGGCTGAGCGAGACGACCACGGCGCTGCCAGTGGTGCACACCAGTGTGAAGAGGAGCAGCGCCAGTGCGTCGAAGTGTGGCGTCAACTGCTCCGCTGCGAGGGTGGTGAGAAGCTGGGGGAGAAAGAAGCACAGCTGGTAGGCGGCCAGCGAGGCGCCGGAGGGGAAGCTGACAAAGGCGCCCTGCTTCACCATCACCGGTACTCCCGAGACGGCGACCATGCCATCGAGGAACGCCGCGGCAAGGATGAAAGGCTCTCGTGCCGACTTTGCCGCGACCACCGCCGCCTTCTGGGCGGGTTCACCCACCTCCGATTTGTCAGCGTCTTTCATTTCGTTGTTTTCGCCCGCCACGCAACGCACGTACGAGAAGGAAAGGAAGGGCAAAAATGCAGAGAAAGAACTCCGAGACGTTGAGCGTTGCTGCTGTGCACGGAGTAGGTTGTGGGGTGCGAAGCACCGAGGAGAGGAGAAAGATAAAGAAATGCAAAGAAAAACGTTCTTTTTCCTTCTTGAAGGGCGGAGGCAGTCCACTATCGCTGGTTGACGGAGGGCAAAAGAAGTACTCGCAGAGGACAAGAAAACCCCGAATATGGCGCTTTGCCTGTTTGTTAGAGTTGCGCCACGCGCCTCGATCCGCAACTAGAAATGAAACGCTGACCACAAAGCTCTTGTGTCCAGCCAAAATGCCAGCAGCCATCACCATGCATAGTTTTCTCTTCTCTTTTTAGATTATCACTTGAATTCATGATACGACGGTGGAATACATCCGTTATGCACCGCTGAAAGTGCGGACAAGCGTAGTTTACATTCAATCTTGTGCTTCGCAACACACACAGCAGGGGTGATAACGCCTCCCTCCTCCTCCCCCTTCATCCTATGCTGCTTTGACCGGCATCGCTCCCTTTTTGTTCAAAATCGTTTCGCCCTGCTGCAGCGCAAGCATCACGACATCATCGCCTTCCGCAACGGACTTCAAGGCGGCAATGCGCGGCAGACACTCGCGCAGAGCAGCGCGCGCCGTCGGCCACTCTGCCAGGTTGTACAGCAGACGAAGCATGTGCATCAGCACGTCGCGCTCATCTTCTCGCGCAATCTCGTGCACGAGCAGGGCGGGGATGCCGAGCTCTGTCGCCTGCATCTTGGCCGCCTCCAGCACTGTGATCTGCGCCGCCGCGCTGAAGAGGGCCACACGCAGCGTCAAGTTGCCGTTGGAGAAGTGCGGAAGCAGGGCTTCTAAGGTGCGGCACGCCAGCGCGTCTCGCCTGCCCTGTGGATACTCCGCAATCAACGACAGCACCTCAGCCGCCTCCGCAATCAGCGGCACGGCGTCGGTGGCCACGATGGCGCTTGTCACGGCAGACACTACGTGTAGCCGCAGCAGCTGTACGTGCGCCTCCTTCACCTGAAAGGCCTGCCGCGTGGCCGAGCACGCGAACATCGCGACGGAGGTGTTCGTGTGTTGGATGAGCTCTACTAAACGAGGGAGGATGCCGCCCTGCACGAGGGCCGCCGTGACCGCAAAGGAGTTCTGCCACGCGTGGCACGACAACACCACCCGCAGCCCCGTCACGACGACATCGTCGTTCGTGTCGTGCAGCGAAGCTAAAATGGGACTGACGTTGCGCAGCGCCGCTGCTTTCTTAACGGGCAGCCCCTCCTGCTCCTCGAAGAGATCCGGTGACTCTAACAGCAGCTTCTGCGTCTGCGTCTCACGCACCAGCATCTCCAGCGCCAGACCGGCGCGTTCGCGCACCGCAGCGCTCTCATCTCTTTCTAACGCGAGCAGCAAAATAGGCAGCATGTTGTACGGCAGACTCGCCACGCAGTGCTCCCGCTTCTCCGTGTAGCACTCAATCAAATGATCGACGGCCTGCAGGCGGACGTGCTCCCGCTCGTCGAGCATCCACCGGCGGATTTTCATGTAGATGAAGCCCCCGTAGGCTTTGCTGAAGGCGGTGGGGTCGCTGGGCGGGACGTCGGGGCGCACCTCGTGCAGCTGAATACAGCGCTGATGGCAGCCGTAGTCGGTGTCTGGGCGGTTCGGCGCTTTGTTGGGCGAGAGGCCCTGTCGCTTGCGGATGACCGTCCACATGGATGCGGCGTTGAATATTTCCTCCTTTCTTTGCCGGAAGACGGGACGACGTGAGCAGCGCCGGCACAACTTGCGGCTTAGAAGACCAAAGCGAAGTGTATGTATATTGAGCACCAAATGCAAGTTCGCAGCGAAGACGACGCCCACCAAGACGCAGTTCGTGTCGCTACAGCAGCGTCAAGTGGGAGGGAGAGGGTGGGAGTGGCGAAAGAACGCAGATGATGATGGAGGGAGGAGGAGGGAAGGGGGGAGAGACGTGGTTGGGAGAGACTATTCGGGAGTGGCGCTGCGATGGGGGAGGGCAAACAACAGTACACTGTTGCTTCTCCGACGCATCTCCTACCAAGAACAAAAAGAAGAACGAACAGAACAGAACAGGAGACACAAATAAGCACCGCTTAGCGAGAAATGCGAGGGGAGCGTCTCTCTACCACAGAGACCGAAGCTCCACTACGATAATAATTCCATGTTTGCCGAGTAGTGTTTCGGACCACGCAAATGAAATGAAATAGTTTACTCGTAGTAGGCGGTGCAACGCACGCAGAGCTCGGAGAACAGTCTTCTTTAAACGATTATTATCTTTCCGCGGGAGGTTCGCAGCCGCATTCCGTCCACTTACGCAGGCGCTCGTGACTGCCGCGCAGACTCCGCGGCAAGCTTTTGCAGCTCCGCTTTACGCGCCTCCTTAGCTAAACTCCTCTCCATCGCACACGTCTCCTCGTAGGTGAGGAAGTACGTTGGTGGCACACTCTGCAGGATGCGCTGCAGCTCCGCCTCGCTGATGGCGCCTTCGTACATGCGGCGGACAGTGGCCTCCACCGGCACGCGGTAGTCTCTGTACTTCTCCCCAATTTCCCGCGTCGCGTCGACTCGCGACGTTGTCGTTCCTGCGGTGGCCTCGGCCAACTGCACTACCTCGTTGTCACGCCGGCGTTGTTCCTTTGTGGGCGATGCGGACAGCACATCAGCGGTGCTCGTTGATGCGTTCGCGGACTCTGCTTCGCGTCTCGCCAGTTCTTCCGTGAAGAGGGCGTGACGGTGACGGATGGCATTACCGTGGTCGGGGAGTCTCTGGAGAAGCGACGGGTGGCCCACCAAACGTGTGCAGCGCTCCAAGTTGACGCGAACCTCTGCGGTGCTCATCGCTCGCACCTCGGCCTCTGTCAACGGCGCAGTCGTGCTCGTCATGCCTCCCGAGTCCTGTGTGCTTTTTGCTGCTATTCCTATTACACCTTGGAAGGCGTACAACCGCCGTTGTTTGGACGATTCGGCAGCGTACAACAACAGAAAAAAAGAGACACACCGCCAGCTGACGGCAGGAAAGAAGGGGTTGGAGGGAGAAAAGAGGAATTGAAGTCGGTCATCCAAGCATACTTAAAGCTGCTGTCGCTGCAGAACCGCAAGAGTTCAGAAAGCGGAAGAAAATGTGCGCACAGCCAGCAAACGCGGTCCGTTTTGAAGGGAAATGCAGACGTGGAAACGCGAGAGGAGCGCCGTGACACCGCCACGACGGCAGCTGCTGAAGCCGTCGCTCTCTTTTCTCCGCTTCCACACCACCGCACCACACACGCACACACACACGCAGGCGTAACACCACAACGCCCGGAGGTGGTGTGAGTGATTTACGTTGTGTCGCCCCACCCACGTACTGCGCTGGCCGCCAGCTGTTTCTCATAATAAAGAAGAAAGGCTCTCCTTTTATTTTTCAAGGATCAAATACGGAATAGATAAATAAATAGACTCATATAAACGATGGAGACGAAAGCGAACCCACACACAAAGCTACGTCCTCCCTAAAAGAAAAAAGAAGAGGGCGGGAGACAGCGCAAGGCCCATGCTTCGCGTACAACAGCCATCGTCCACACATTCACCCACGCACACCGGCGCACGTACATCGCGAAAAAAATGCGTAAATAATTAAGAGAGAGCAGAAACAAGCTTTGAACATTCTATGAACATGAGCCGCCCAAGAGCGAAGGGAAGCCGACAGAAAAAAGGGGAGAGCAGTTCAAGGTAACATTCATGATAAATACGTACATGGGAATTGATGCAGACATACCTCAACGGAGGTTGTCGAAGGGAAATTATTTTAGAAATCAAAGAAGAGGCGTCGTGTGCCAGAGCGGAAAACTTGCGCGGAGGTACGAAGTAGATAAAAGGAGCGAGGCGTCTCGTTGGATCCGCACCGCAGAGGCGAGAAAGGGAAAAGGGAAAGAAAGAAAAAAAAAGAAAGAAAAAAAAATCTACGTGTTTTTGTGCTTTTTCAGGTGCTACCAGAGAACTACACATTGTCGTAGTAGGTTGACTGCGTCGGTGCACCACCATCAGCGTTGCCGTTGCCGTAGTTGTAGTTGTAGGGGTCCTGGTTCGCATTGCTGTAGCCCGCCGCTGCGCCGTAGTTTTGGCCGTAGCCGTAGCTCGACCCGGTTCCGCTCGCCCCGTAATCGTTGTTAGGCGCCAGCGGATGCTGCACGTTGCGCTGCCGCATCCCGGTGCTGCCGGGTTTTCTGCTGCTCGACGTCGAGGCGTTGTACTGACTATCGGCGGTGGGCTGGAGCGCCGTGTCATCGCCGCGCTTCTCGCGTAGCGCGGCAGTGCTGAGCTGCCGTTGCGGGCCTTTACTGGGTCTCCGCTGCATCTCCACCGGTTCCTCACCGTTGCTGCTACTGCTGCTGCTTGTGCTGCCACTTGAGCTGCTACTGCGACTTCCGCGCCGACTACCCGACATGCGACTGTGCTGACTCTGTCCGTCGCCCCGCATGCTTCCGTCAAGTTGGCGCTGACGGTAGGCCTCCACGGCGGCCGAGCTGACCGTCACGGCTGTCTTCTTCTGCTTCTTCGCGGCCCTTCCTTTGCCCTTCTCGTCGTCCGAACCGCGGCGGCGCACGGCGGTGGAGTTGCCGCGGTAGTCGTGCAGCGTGGCGTGGCTCTTCGTGAAGCGGGTCACGTTGCGGTTGGTGCCGCGCTGCTCTCGCTCCTCCTGCTCATCGCTGATGCGCAGGAACACCTGCTCAATCGACGTCTGCGACACGCTGTAGTCGGTGATGCCGAGCCGCGACTGGTTCTCCTGGATGCATGCAAACGTCTCGGATAGCTTCGTGTCCTGCGGCAGCCCGAACACAAATCGCTGCCCTTTGAATTCGTTCAGCACGGCATCCTCGAAGTTCTTCTCCACGAAGTCCTGCACCTCCTGTCGCATTTCCTTGTGGGCAATACGAAGACTCAGCTCGAAGCCGCTGCCGTACTTCTGCTTCAGGTGCAACTTGTCGCCGATGCAGCGGAGAGCGCCGTCTGCCATGATGGCCACCGTGTCTGCCAGCGCCTCCACCTCCTCCAGGTGGTGCGTCGTCAGCACAACGGAGCAGTTCTGCGAGACATGCTGGACAGCCGTCCACAGGCCACGCCGCGCCACCGGGTCCATGCCGGCGGACGGCTCGTCGAGGAAGACGATCTGGGGAGACCCCATGAGAGAGAGGGCGACCGAGAGCTTGCGCCGGTTGCCGCCGGATAGCTGCGCCGAGGTCGTGTTGCGGTACTCCGTAATCTCGCACAGCCGCATGAGACCCGAGACCACCTTCGGTCGCTGCTCGTGCACAATACCGCGAATACCCGCGTACAAGTAAAGGTGCTCCTCCACAGTCAGCAGGTCCAGAGTGGCGTCGAACTGCGGGCAGTAGCCAATGCACTGCAGCGCCTCCGCACTGTCCTCGACGATGTCGTACCCGCACACGTACGCGTTGCCGCTGGTGGGGATAAATTCCTGGCAGAGCATCGAGATGGCGGTCGTCTTGCCGGCGCCGTTCGTGCCGAGGAAGCCGAAGACCTCATCTGGCAGAATGGAGAAGGCGAGGTTGCGCACGGCGACTTTGCCGTTCCTGTACACCTTGCGCAGGTCCACCACACGCACGATGTCGTCATTGACGTTCTTCTCCTCCTGCTCGTAGACCTCCTTCCGCTCGTCCTCCACGTCGGAGTCTTCGTCGTCGATCACCTCGGCAGCGGCGCTGCGGTCGTAGCTGCGCTTTTGACCCCACATGCGTCGGCGTGGGTGATCAATGAAAAGGATGATGATCAGAAACACGGGGAACTCGATTATCATGAAGACGCAGGGCCACCCAACCACCTCCATACCCCACGGGTGCGAGGCCTGGCCCAACACCCTTTTCTGCCGATCCATGGCGAGGTTGATGATCGACTCTCCCACACAGTAGGAGGGCACAACACGGAACGGCCACCGCAGGTAGTTCGAGACGTTCTTGGTCGTGTCGACGAGGGAGAGAATGAACACCATCATAACCAGCAGGAAGCCAGCCACAAAGCTGACGGCCATGGTGATGGACTGCGCGGTGGAGTGCTCGTCAAAGGCAAAGCTGACGGCGTAGGCGAAGACCGTGCTGCAGAAGCCGTACACGATGAACATCACGATTGTCGGCCCCGCCGTTTCTGTCCCGACGTACTCTTTGCGTCGGAAGATGAGAAATATGATAATGACGAGCAGCAGCGTGATGAGATAGGCGACGATGTCGAACAAGAAGGTGGTGGCCCAGTAGACGTAGTAGTTGAGTCCGGAGACGTTCTGCAGGTGCCGCGCCTTGCACTCCCGCTCCTTCACGATCCACGCGACAGGGTTCGACGGGAGAAAGGTGAAGGGAATCATCACAATGGCGCCAATCAGAATCGTCTGCACGCCACCCTTTACCTCGGAGCTGGAGGACGACTCCGGCATCGGCTTTGTCGCGGTCTTGAACGTGCGGTTTACATCACCGGTGATGTGCTGCAGGACGTAGGAGTAAAACTGCTGTATGCCGAGCCCGCCGGAGTGGAAGGCGGAGGTGTTGTAGAAGAGAAGCAGGGCAGTCTCCTCGTCAGGCACGACGACGTTCAGGCCGGGGTCGTTGCAGACGATGGACGTGTAGCGCGGCATGGTCAGCGACTTGGATGTGTCGGTGGCGTACTGGGACATCTGCAGGCCGTTCACGAAGTTGCGATCGGAAATGAGCGCGCCCTGCCGGGTGGCGCTGTCCATCTCGCCGATGTAGCCCGTGCAGCCCGACACCTCCATCTGCACCGTCTCGCCGAACATCTCGGCGGAGAGGTCGATCGACCCGGTGGAAGAAAAAGTGACGAGCGTTAGCAGCATCGCCAGCAGGATGCAGACGACCGGGCACACGAGCTGGAAGCACTGCATACGGCGATCACGCAGCGCGTTCCACAACCGCTTTGACATCATCGCCTTGAACTGCGACGTCATGCGACTCGTCCTGCTGGTCAGCATCTCGCAGTGCCACACGGCGCGGTTCTCCTCCTCCACCACGGCCTCGTCCTCGTCGACTTTGTTGCTCTCTTTATGCTGCCGCATGTCCTCCAACGCAATCTGCAGGAACACCTCTTCGAGCGTCGTGGCCGACAGCGAGTAGCCGCGCACGCCCGCCTTGTCGCCGTCCTGTTCTATGCCCGCCAGCAACGCGGGGAAGCGTTTCACATCCTGCATTGGCAGCTTGTACACGATCTCGACACCGTTGAAGCTGGAGGCCGCAGCGCTCGGGACGAGGGCGGTCACGAGCCGGTCCACATCCTCCGCCTCCGCCTCGGGGTCCACCGTTACAGTCATGTTGTAGCCCACGCCGAGACGCGACTTCAAGAACATGCTGCTGCCGGAGCACTGCAGTCGGCCGCGACTCATGATGCCGATTCGTTGCCCTAGAAGGTCCGCCTCGTCCATGTAGTGGGTCGTCAGCATGATCGTGTGCGCCTCTGACATGCGGCGCAGCAGCTCCCACGTGTGTCGCCGCGCACCGACGTCCATGCCGGCCGTCGGCTCATCAAGAAAGATCAGCGGACTGCGACCCACAAAGGCGATGGCGACGGAAAGCTTGCGCTTCTGGCCGCCGGAGAGGTCGCGGGAGGGATACTCAATCTTATCCAGCAGCGCCACCTCGCGCAGAATCATGCGCACCGCATCCTCCAGCACAGGGCCGCACAAGCCTTTGATCTTGCCGTAATACTCCAGATGCTCGCGGCACGTCAGCTCCGACCACAGGATGTTGTGCTGCGGGCAGAAGCCGATCTGCTGCCGCACGCGGTCCAGCTCCTCGCGGACGGAGTAGCCGTTGATATAGCAGTCGCCCTCGTCCGGGGTGGTCATCCCCGTCATCATGTTCATCGTCGTCGTCTTGCCAGCGCCGTTGTGGCCCAGCAGGACGGAGATCTCGCGCTCTTTCATGTTCCAGTACAGGTTGTTCACCGCAGCAAACGATTTGCCATCACGCTTGTACTCCTTGCGCAGCCCCACGATGTGCACTGTGGCATCCGTGCCGTCATCGTCCTCGAAGACGCCGTCCTCGGCGCGGCCGTCTTCGTTGTCGCCGGTGACATCGTACTCTTTCCTGCAGCACCGGTGGGCGCACCACTTGAAGGGGCCCGTGATGAAGAAGAGCGGGTGCTTCGTCGTCCCCCAGTCCTTCGGCAGCACGGCGTCGAAGTAGAACATGAAGAGGTAGTACGCCGCGAAGTCTGCCGTGAGCACGGCGTAGAGAACGTAGCTCTGCGGACTCAGCGCGGGGTTGTGAAAGTCGCCCGAGCCAAAACCGGTGCTCACCTCCATCGTCAGAATGTTCGTCAACGCCGCTGCAAAGGCCGTCGGTGACAGCACCGAGACGCCAATGATGGCATTCGCAGAGGCCCTCGTAAAGGCGAACGTCGGCACGGAGAAGGCGAAGTAAATCAGCGGCGCCAGCATCGAGGCAAGACGCGCCTTGCTGAAGAAGGCGGCGATGAGTCCCGACAGCGGGATCGTGCTGAGGGCGAAGAGGTAGAAGGTGAGAAAGAGAATGAACGCGTCGCTGCTAGGGGCGAAGGTGACCTTCAGCAGCACCACCATGACAATGCATCCCATTAGGTACTGCAGGGCGTAGGTGACAAACCACGCGAGGTAGAGGGAGGTGTTGCTCAGGCCCATGATCAGCATCGCTTCCCGAATGCGCAGTTCCTTCTCCAGCACAATCTTCTTCGCCAGCTGCGACACAGGGTAGAGGAAGGAGAGCACGAGAATAAAGGAGATGAGCGAGGCAGCGGTGTTCAGCAGCGTCTTCTCCGTGTATGCCTGGGTGCCGAAGGAGACCATGTACGGGTGGAGCGTTGACGCTTCGGTGTAGCCAAGGCTGAAGAGGTAGTACTCGTAGATCGACTTTTGGAGGGTGTTGAAGCCCGACACGAGGTACAGCTCGGCGTGGTCAAACTTAAACCCGCCCGCGTACAGCACGTCGGTCACTTTCGTCATGGAGGGCAGGGCGCTAGAGTTCATGTGCAGCACGACATCGAAGTCCGTCGCGTTCATTGCCTTCACCTCGACGATGCCCCAGTGGTAGTCGACGGTGCTCTTCACGTACTTCTCCGCCTCCTCGATCGTGTCGAAGGTGTCTCCGTAGATGTACTGGAAGTAGAGGGAGCTCTGGTTGAGCCAGTCAATGAGATCTTGCGGGACGCTCGCCCGCGGGGCGAAATAGAGCTTGCCGGAATTCGAAATGGCGTTCACGCGGGTGCTGGGGGTGATCCCGGCAGCGGCAAGCACGGCGGTCGAAGCGCTGCTGGCCTTAATCATCGCGCTCTTTCGCGCTGCCCATTGCAGGAGAATGATCGTGTCGAGGTGCGGGACGGCCGCCGCGTTGGCCAAAATGGCGTTCAGGTAAAGCCCCACGAGGCTGTCGGAGCCGGAAGTCCCATTAAAGCATAAGCCCTTCAGCGGCAGGCTCGACTCATCGCCGCTGCAGTCGTAGTGCCAGTCGACCTCCGCACAGTCTGCGAGACCGGGAATGATGCCCATCGACATGTTGTTGCACGTCACGTAGTAGTAGAAGGAGGGGATCATCAAGGAAGAGGCGGCCCTGTAATTGAGTTTCTCGGTAGCCGGGTACTTCTTATCGCCGAAGGCGGCCCACAGAATGATGGCGCCGACGACGAAGAGGATCGGCACGAAAACCTCTAACGCGGTGGAGAGTGGGTCGCGCAGCTTCTGCTGCATCGTCCGCTCCATCGTCGCGAGGAATTGATCGTTGAAGCTGCCGCCTTTTTCGTTGGGCTCCACCAGCAAGTAGTCTTCCTCTGACTCCAGCTGCTCCTGCGCCTTGCGTTTGGCTGCTAGCGGGTTGGTGCCGGTGTCGCGGGGCATGCCGCCGTACGACGAGGCCACGGAGTGCATGCGGGTGTTGTCGGAGATCTGGACATTGCGCTGGTAAAAGGTGAGGCGCTGGTCACCCATCAGCACCTGCTGCTGTGTCTGACGACGACCCATCCTGTGACGAGGAGCCGCAAGGGCAAAGGTTCCTTCTTTCTTCTTAAAGCAACTGCTAAGAAGATGTGAGATGGAAAGGGAGGTAAAAGCGGGAGGTGGGGGAGAAGGGGGATGAACGCCAAGATAAGAAGCACGCACACAAACAAAAAGAAATGGTGAAGCCACCAACAGAGCAGAGCGCGCCGTCGCCCACCGACGCACGCCAACGGCGGTGTTCTACAAAAAAACGGAGAGAAGAAAAAAAAAAGAGAAAACACGAGCCGCGAATGCGAAACGCACCCGGCAGAAAAAACAGAGTTGACGTAGATGTTCCAAATGGCGGGTAAACGAACGAAGAAAGAAAGGAAAGAAAAGAAGAGGGAGGCACTAGGTACAGGAGGGGTAAAGGATTTGTAAATATATATATATATATATATATATATATATATAT